CTTAAACTGGGGGGCCCAGAGCTGCACATAATTCTCGAGGTGAGGCTGCAGCAGCACTGAATGCAGCTGGATAATCCCCTCTTCAGACCAGCTGGTTCTGTTGTATTCAGTGCACCCCAGGATGCTGTTTGCCCTCTTGGCTGCCAGGGCACACTGCTGACTCACATTGCGCCTGCTGTCAACCAGCACCCTGGTACTTGAGAGCTACAAGTACAACTAACTGTCCCCTTTACACGGTGTATGACTGTACAAGATGCAGAGTATCTACTTGGAACTTAAGTTGAGCACTACAGTGATTCAATAATTACCTATTCTTTCCTCCTCCTCTAAAGAAGAGAGGACAAGACTAGATGCACTGGAACTTGCGATAGTAGCTCAGGTGCACTTTATGAATCCAAAACCTATCGACTTTACAACTAAAAATTTATAAGCCTCACTGATTGCTCAGTCATTAGATTACCAGGCCCTTTTTATATGTCAGCTGTACAATATAAAACCAGAAACATGTAAGTTAACAGACTAAAATTAAACATCTGCTTCTACAGTGGTGAAGAATAACAGTAAATTAAGACATTATGGATAGAAAAGAAGAATTTAAACCAGGCTAAAATTCCCTTTATTCCCAACACTTTTCCTGTGCCAGTTTTACTGTAGCCATTTCATGGATTTTGACTCTTTTCCTCTGCTTCTACTGACCAAAACAAACATTCTTTATAACATTCTGAGTGAGCTGGGGGTGAGTGGAATGAGATGACAAGCACAGAGATGGAGACACAGAGACACACACAGAGAGGGAGAGACAGGGATGTCTCAGACCTCCTTTCTTCCTACATTATGAAATTCCTTTAACCTACATTTATAGTATATAGTATTGTAAAGATCTTGTTGCAGGCAACCAAAAAAAGGGAAGAAAAGCACAGGTACAGTGGCTTTGCAACTAGCCTTTCAGTCTATAGAAAAGGTTATAACACAGATCTTAAGCAGTAAATTAGATTAAGCTTCAGAAACGGGCTCTACTTATATCCAGGGGGAAAAAAAAACCAAAACAACACAACAAAACAAACCAACCACAGATTTTCTTTCAGAAGCTCATCTTATTACTTGCCGTGAGGGAGCAGTAAATTTCAAGATTGATTCTTCTTACATTGGTCACTGCAGGACTGACCAATACAGACTTTTTCCCTACCAGTTTAACTGAGGCACAGTTGCTAATTACATCATTCTGGGACTCCTGGAAAACATGACGGAGCCGTAAGTAATGGAAGAAGACAGCACTCTTTGTGTCAGAAAAGACTGTAGTAGAGAGTTGTTAATGGGACCTCAGTCACTAAGCCAAAAAGAGTCTTAAAGAAGGAAGTATGTCTGTATGTTTTTAACTAGAAACAACTACGCAACTTTTCTTCTGTAAGATCCCACTCACATCTGTATTGAAGCACAGCTACTTTTGAAGTAGAGGGTGCTCTGCTGGCAGACAATTGGAATACATCTACAAATACTGGCAGAAAAATGGCTTGGAAGACCTCACAGAAAGCATCAACTACTCTTATGCCCCTTCCTTAACATGCAATGTTAATATGTATGAGAGGCTGAGGTAAATATTCTTTTGTAGTAGCTGACCTGCATGAACACTACAGTGTTTTCTGGACTTTAGTATGTTAAATAGCTACCTAACAGGTTCAGATTAAAACCTTTTCCTGGCATAGACTAATGTAGAGCAAAGAGGACCATAATTTACAAACTCATATAAAGATCCACAGTGAAATTCACAGAGCTTAATTTAACACCTTAAGGGAATCCACTCCTTAGTTTCTAACACCTTCATGCTGTGTGGATCAAGGAAATCTATTTGCATCAAGGTTTTACAGACACCTAAATAAATGACAATGCTGTTCTACAAGGCACTGAACTTTTATATGTAGGGAGAAAAACCTGTCCCAAAATCCTCTCCAACTCCAGTCAAAAAACACCCAACATTGCTTGTCGTGGAACCAAAAGAGATGAAAGGTCAGCACTGAGGCCTTTGGAATCACTTGGAGCCTCGTTTTTAAAGGGATTGTCTGGATAAACAATACTGTCAACTCAGATCATGTTTACACTTTTTAGCAGGAGAACACATGAGAATCTGGTACATGACTATGGGTATTTTCACAAGAACATTATGTAAACACTGCTGTCACTATTTATAAATTTGTTTTGTGTGGAAAATGCCATTTCTATGAGTATATTGGAACTACTACGATAGGGCAAAATTTGTTCTCAGCCAAAATACTGTCTTTTCAAAGAGTATTCTCCTGATAGTGAGCCAAATCACGGCAGCAACTGAAAACAGGCTTACTGTGCTTTGGTAAGAGAAAAGCACTGCAGATGTGCAAAGTGCACCCTTGCCAGGACAAGAAAAAAGTTCATCTCATGAGGTGTCTTCACATGTTTGAAATAAAACCTTTGTCAAAGAAATTAAATGTTGCAAAGAATGGCAAAAAGTCTAAATTACAGTCTGGTTTCTTTTACAAAGAATTCTTTAGTGTCCGTACTTAGTATTATTTGAAACTTGAAGAATCCATTTTACTGCTGACACAGGCTATATACTCCAATGGTTCAACCTTCCAATTTCAAGAGGTGCTTTAACAGAACTAGTGTACACGTTTCATGTTACACCTCCAGAGCTCCAGGTCCTGGTGCTCCAGGGCAGTCAGGAGAGTACCTACAACCAGCTCTCTGGCATCTCATGTTGTTATGTGAGCATAAAATAAAAAGGTCAGGACTGAAGACTTATGCACTGCTTGACGAGAAGTCATGCTTTTGGCTAGGAATGCAAAAGCCACGTTTTTGTAAATAAACAATGAAACCATCATCTTTATATAAATAAACCAAAAACGTGCAGAGCTTGGGAAAGCTTTCATGGCAAATAGTTTTCAGTTTGCCTCTCACATTCACCGACAACTATTATTCCCACATCTAGTTATTTAAAAAGGGAGCTATGAACGCAAACACTATGTGCTTCCACAGTTTTTAACATAGATATATAATTTCTCAGATGAACACCAGCTCCTTGTTCAATCACATTATGTCGTTTAATATTAAAATTCTCTGAAGATGATGAGGAAACTGCAATGTTGCTGCCCTCAGAGTTCCTGGAGTGTCTGTACAGCACGATCTGCAGTACACTGTAGAATGATTTAGGCTGGAAGGGATCCATGGAGGTCATCTGGTCCAACACACCGATAGCAGGGCCAACTTCGAAGCTGGATCAGGTTGCTCAGGGTCATCTGGGTTCTCAATATGTTTGAGAATGAAGATGTCACAGTCTCTGTGCAAATCATTTGATCAATCTCATTTGAACAAAAGTCTACTGTCTATTCCATTTCTCTTGCTCCAAACTGTAATCAGCAAAACATCAGTAATCTCAAAGACAAAATGTGTAAGACTAAAACATATTGCAAATATGGGAAATAAAGATACATTGTCTGTAAATTTATTTGAATAGTCTTTAGAGCAAAGTATCTAATCAGTCCAGAAGGATAATAGACTATAAAAGCCAAAACCCCACTTCTTGATGCAAAATTATTCATGTAGATTCTATTCATATTTGTTGTCAGCAGCAGAAAACCTGTCTGCCATGGACAGGCTTAATACCCAAGTGGTGCAACTCAAATGTGGTATGACTGAAAACAGATCTCAAGAAGCTCAATAACTGTACGGCACATCTATTTAGCAGGCATGACTAGAGTAAAAATTCTAAGATGAGATTTCTTAAAGGACTCATTTTAATGTCAGCCTCAAGTAGGATTTCTAAAATATACAAAAATCATTGTCTGCAGAAACAGTAAATATTGCAATTGGAGGGAAGTAGCCCACTGCTTATGCATATACATTTGCCTAGTCTCTAACCACAAAATTGTGTTTAATATCAACTGCATAACTGAGCTTGCTTCTGTAATACCTTCAGAAACTATGTTATGTACATGTGTATCAATAACCTATGCCAAAAGGCTTAAAATTTATATTGCCTACTTTCAGCAGTCTAAAAGATAGCCTAGATTTGTTTTCTAAACTGACTACTGTCAAAAGAGATGGGGTAGAGTGGTCTTGCGTATCTAAGGATGAAGTTTCACAAAGGTTTCATCCCTCTCCACTGATTATCTAACTTAGATTAGATACTAAATAATTAAGACTGCCTGCCTTAATTTCATCTGTTTGGGATATTTAGATTGCTGCATCTTTAAGGGGGAGAACAAGCCAAAAAAATCAGGGTGAGAAAATATACACAAGCACCAAATGGTTCTAAAGTGGTCAGCAGCTTAACCAGTATTTTTTTTCTAAGGATTCTGTAACAAATGCCTTTTATTTCTTTTAACAAAGCATTAACTTAGCCATGGCTTCAGAGTAAGTGAACACATGTATAGTAAGTTCAAATATTTAACTGATTACCAGACCAACGCACATACAAAAAGCATAATTTAATTATCATCATTTTGCAGTGAGTAAGCATTAACAATGAAATTTAACTGTCACAAGTGTTTATGAACATCTACAAGCCTAATACAAATATCCAAATTTTTAGTAAAGATCAGTCATTTAAAGTGTTACCAATAAGACGTTCAGTAACCCTGCATTAAATGGTAACGAGCCCTTTCTAGAAGAATATTAATTTATAGTCAGTCTTTCTAACAATTCTTTGTACAGTAAGAAAAAAAAAAAGGAAAAATCAGATTTGTGTTTTCCGGCTTCCCTTTCCCACCCAACCATCCACACATACTTTTGCTCTCAGACTGAGCTACTAGCCAATCAAACATGATGGCAAAAATCATCTCAACCAAAGGTCCAAGATCTCAGTTTTAGCATCCAGCTCAAACGCTCTTTGGGAATAAAATCCATGTTTTCTGTATAATGTGCAAAGTGCAAGTTTTCCCCAGTGCTGTCAGAAGTGTGTGCTGCTAAGAACTTCGCCACAGAATAGTAACAATTCGCCACAGTAACAATTAAGACTTTTCAATTTCCAATAGCTCTGGTTAGGGACAAATATTAGATGATGTGCACGGGAATGACAGATCAAGTGGGTTATATACCAGTGTTTATTAGGTCAGGTACTTCCTGATCTCATTAGGCCAAACCAATGTTTTTACTCAAGTTCTTCAGTTTCCTCTGTAAAAAGGTCAGCCAAATCTGCCACTGTCAGAACTGAGGCTTCTGACTGTTTCATGGAAGAGCTCGTGTGGCTGTGGGAAAAAATTGCATGCAGACATCAGAGAAGGAATCAACTTAAGTAATGTGCTGTTTATACTAAGGACAGAACATATGGTTCAGAGCCCATTAACTGTTCAGCCTGGAAGCTCAGCAGGAAAAAATACACGCACACTGGTCAGCTACTTCTTTTGCACATTTTGCGTAGGATACAAAGTCCATCTACTGTCCCTAGCAGTGGTCAACACCAAACACTGCAGAAGCAGCGGAACGTGGAATAATCCGCTTTGTGCTCTTAGCATTTAAGGGATTGGCTTCAACTTCAAAGCATAAGGTTTGATACTACTTTCAAAACACTAGCCCTCATTGGATCATTCAACCACTGTATTTCTATTTTAATCTTATACGAAAAGCAGTGTTAGTTTACAGATATAGAAACTGATTAAATTGTCCTTTCAAAACTAAAGCTGAAATCTTTCATAATGACAGCTAAAGATACGTGTAAACTTTTGGTCTCAACTTGTAACAGCCAAAACTGTAAAAAAATTAGTACTTTTCTTAAAGTAAGGCCTCTTCCTAGATTAGTTACGTATATACAATATAATCAAAAGGTACAAACCTCCTGTACTTTCTGCTTAAAGAATGTAAATACCACTTTTGTTCCACTCTCTGTCCATTATTGCTTATAGTTTTCAAAGGATAACCACAGTGAAAACCGCTTCCTGTGCCTGCACACCAGACTGATTCAGAAGCTAGCATCTGGACAACACTTGCACTCACTGCAAATCATCCAGTGTGACATAGCACTGACAGATCAGGTTTGTAGAATTTAGAAATAATGAAAGAAATGATTTATGTCCTATATTAGAGCTTATAACATATGCTGTTACTCCAGTGGCAGGCTTAGTAATTAGTCCATTAACTGCAATGCTTTTATACTAATGGAGGTAGATAAATTGCAAAAATAAGTCATAACATACAATTTATTAATTAATTTGGCTTTTACGAAATAAAATATACAAAACGTAACCAAAATATTCTCTGGTCAATTGAAATAAATACCTTAAGCTTCGAGTTACTGGAACCAGGTTAAAAGATCAACTTTTCCAGTCATAAAATGTTTTTGTCAATCAAAACATGGAAGGAGAACAGTTGAAGTTTATATACAAGATACGTGTACCTAACTGTCATAAAAGTGTGGTTGAAAACCGTCTTTTCATTTTCAGTGCAATAATGATGTTTTAAAAACATTCAACACGTACCTTCTATCTACTGTTTTCAGCATAGTCTGCATTCTCTCTTCTATTGTTGCTTTTATCAGGAACCGATGAACAATGGTAGATCTGAATGTGTTTAAAAAGAGAAAACAAGACCAGAAGTGAGCAGAAGTTATGCTGTTACTGTCAAAGTTTAAGACCACATTTTTGTCCCATACCAGTAAGAGTGCTGAAAAAACGCCCCTGTATTTTAAGAAAGAAATTTTACGAGGTAGTCACAGCTTCCACTGACATTTAAGGATGCCTAGTGCCTCCCAGAGCACACGCTTCCATGTGGCTGGATAGCATACTAAATGAATATAAGTTGTATTAACTAAAATCCAAATGCAGATGCTGGGCAAAGTTCTGCTTTCTGTGTCCCCACTATAAACAAACAGTCCTCAAGAGCCTGTCGTTTAAAGAAATTACTTAGGCCCACTGGTTGCATACAATGTTTATGCTGCATTGTCAAAAGTCAGTCCAAGAGACAGAGCTCAGTGTAATGCATAATTAAAGCTCATTCCCAGAGGTTTAACTATACTGTTCTTGAAGACGGCAAAATACTGTAATTTTTTTTTTTAGGTCAGTAATAGTAGTCAGTCAAGATGAAATTGTAAACACGGTAAAATGTAAAAACCAGAATGTCAATAAACATAAACCAAAATGAGAACTCCATTTATGAAATAAAATTTTTAAAAAAAGCTATAATAATAAAAGAAGTGTCAGGGACAAGGAAGTGAAATGGAAAAGAGTCAGCTCCAAAGATAAAAATGAAAAATCACTCCAGGTTCCCCAATATAAACATCTTTCAAGATATGAACTCTTGAAAGCGTTTGGATGGTTTTCAGATCTTAAATTGAAACTTTGGCAGGTAATATTACACTGAGGCATGCTGGGGGAATACTTTGTGACTCATAGGCAAAGCTCTACTCAAGAAAAAGAGGAGTAAATAAGAACTCAACTCAACTGGTTGTAGCTGTACCAGTGAAACTAAACAGAGTATATTCCCTCATGCTCACTGTACTTGGAAACAGCCCTTTGTGTAAGCCATGCTGAAGTCTTATTCTTCAGAACTACAGCACACATTCTTACTGGGTTTATTGCAAGGCTTTTGCCAGACCTTTATGTGCCAACATCATGTAAAATTACAATGCAGGCTGTTGCAATCAATCTTTCCTATGCCCTCAAAGTTAATTCAAAATCTTTACCAACACACCCAAATATCCACCAGTTCATAAACATTCTTTCACATACATGCTCATTCATGCCCTCTTGCTTTACCTCCATTTCCAGAACATAAACCCCACTATTATTCTGGAATAACAATATTCTAGAATTGATTCCAGTTATTTTTCTTCTTTATGTACAGGGTTTTTTACATTATTTTTTTCAATTTATATGAAATCTAAGGAAAACCATATATATTTTATCTGTTCAGGACAAGCTTTCCAAAACCTTTTTTAAATGTTCAGAACAACCCACGTAAAATCTACAACACTGAAGCAAAAGATACTCACTAATGTTTTCAAAAAGATCTAGATGGGGTGAGGGTAGAACTGTGATTTAAAAACTAATCCGTTCTAAAGAGTGTGTGCTATAAACTTCTTTCTGGAAAAACAAAACAAAACCACCATGCAAACAAAAAACCTCAACAAAAACCTCAACCCCCAAAAATTTACACAGTTCCTCATCTGGAGCTGGGAATGACCGGCTAGAAGGAGCCTCTCAAGGCAACTAGCAAGCGCTGTGCCTGAACTTAGCCACACATGACCTAAATAGTGAGTTGCTCAGACCTGCAAAGCTAAGACATTTCTGGACATGCTTACAAGCAGCACTTGTTGAAAACTAAGGTATCAATGACACACATAAAATAGGGCGCAGCTGAACAAGGTTATTCAGGATTTTGGACTCAAGAGCTTACACTTTTCCTAAATATCTGAATACAATTTGCTTCTGCATCTTACACCCATAGTACAAAAGAACTCCCTAAAATACATATTGTGTATTTTCAGCAAACTTTTTAATTTAATCGTTCTCTCCCTTACACAATCATTTTTAAGAACAGGAATCCTATGAGTACCCTCATTCCCATAATCAAGAAGTTCAGTGAACTAGATTTATTCTGAGTCTAATATTCAGTTCTATTATAGACTAGATCTAAACCACTAAACGCAATTTTAACTCTTACTTTGTCTGGCCGATACGATGTACTCTGCCAATAGCCTGTAGCTCATGTGCAGGATTCAGGATGGGTTCCACAAGCAGAACGTGAGTTGCTTCAATGATGTTGAGTCCATTGGAACCAGTGTGAAGAGGCAGCAGCAAAATATTGATGTTGGGATCATATTTAAATGCAGAGAGATTTTCCTAAAAGGCAAACATCACAGCAGCATGACAGAAGCTCCTCAGTAAAGACTGTGGGGGACATCTGTCAGCTACTATAGGCCCCAGTGACAATTTTGCAGCCTGACTGACCAAAGACTTGTCATCCCAGAACAGATATCCAACAGGTATCACGAAGGCAAGAACTTCCTGCAACACTGATCAGGGTGTCTTACCCTTAACATCCATGCCAATGCTTTTTTCTCAAAAGTGAATGCACTGTTTATCTCCCAAGGTTTGTGATGATGATTTTTAGAATTAATAAGCTAGAGATCAAAGCTTCTGCCAAACAAATTTGCTGCTCTTTCAATTTCTCAAATGAGGCAATGAAGTAAAAGGACCAAACTGACTTCTATGAACTGTAATTTTCCCCACTGAGACTAATTTTAAGAAAAATATTCTTTATGTACCTGAAATTTACTAATTCCATTGATCTGAGAAAAAACCATATTGTTGTCATACAAAGCTTTTGAAATTATGTCCAACACATCTTGCCACTGTAAAAACACAAAACACAGAAATACACAGTAAAAGTAACTCAATATTACTAACAGCTACGACAACTAAAATATGCTAATTAAATTCCCTAAGAGATAAAAATGCCTTTCAAAATACTAGAATTTGCAATTAACAAAAAAAGGCGGGGGGGGGGGGGGGGGGGGGCAGAGAAAAAGAGGGGGGGGGGGGGGGGGGGAAGGGAGATAGAGGGATGAGAAAAAGATTTGTGTGAACCGAATCTTTCATAAAACTAAATTAGAAACGTAATTAAAAAGATCGGCTTGAATACAAACTAGTAGCCATCACAAAACCAGTTCTACAATGTATCAAAAATATCTGAACATTACATTTAAAAATACCCAGAATTTCTAATGCTCCCATACAAATCAAAGTGTTTGCCCTTTAAAGAAACAAGCTTTTACATCTGTTGACTACCATCATTGTTCATGTCCCAGCTACATGAATTGCCCTACAAATTCTCAAAACAAACAAGTGGCTGTACAGAGTGATTCAACATTTTGGTAGCTAAACTAATTCCTGAAAATACTATGACCGCTTTAAACTCAGACACACACACAAAGACAAGATTTGTGGTGATTAATACCGTTGAGAATACTAAGGATTTAGCTCCTGGATCTTTAAACTGAATTCTCTTCAGTGTTCGGACCACAGCTTCCACTTTGGTGGAGTGACTTCCCTTTGAAAAGTTAAAGAAGAACATTAGTAAAGTAGGATATTAAATAATTCCTTCCATATTCATTACTTTATTAAATACTGTTATATTAGGATTCATACGTATCTTACACAAATGTAAAAATTAGCAAACTGGAGGAAGGGCAGGTTAAGTAGCAGTGAACTACTTTTATACCTTCCTTATAACACACCGCTATAGCATCAAAGGTGTATTACAGCGTGCACAGAACAGGGAAGAATGAAGCACCACACAGATACACCTGTCTAGTTCTGCATGAGGCAGAATGGATAGCCCAAGCAGTGCAGTTGTACCAAACACAACTGCAGTTGCCAGGTAGGCCTCCTGAGGTTTAGCTTACTGGCACAATCTTCAAAGAACCTACCAAACGCACATTTAAATTTCCCTCCCTTCTCACCTCTTGAAAGCTGGCAATGAAAAAAAACCTGAATGCTATTTCTGTTGCTTTTGATCCTCACTCTGGCAACACTAAACTTATGCTCAGTACTATGAAACTTGTTAATTATATTTAAAATAACAAGAAATTGTTAAACACAATTCTTGAAGGATTGTGGGCTGCAATGAAAACATCTTCATATTCTTCATTCAGAAGTATTTCAGCGCTTAATGAATCCAATACTACATTCTACTTCTTGACCACTTTGATTTCTGTCCTTCTCCCTTTCCCCTTACGTTGGCAAGAGGATTCTAAGAAAAAGTTCTTTAGTATCTCCCTCTATTTCCTTTAGTGCGCACTTCGTATTACAGCAATTTTACTTAATGTGTTTTTTTTAGGAAGCCCTAATTTAATTCCTTACTAGTTCTTACATGCATAGTAATTTCAAGCTGTGCTAGATTCAGCTGGACAGATATTGTTTTATTTCTGTCTGCACCTGTCCTCTGAACATTGAATTAACTATGTTGGCTTGCTACAATCGCAGATCAAATTTACTGGAGTTATGCTGCTTGCACAACTGGTGGGGAAAGATGTCAACAGTCTAAGCACAAGCTGGGAAACAATGCTGGACTGCCTGATCATTCATACATTATGTAGCTAAATGAATGCTCCAGAAATGCATGTAAAAGACTTTCTGCAGCCTGTTTTACCAAAGGTTGCAATATGCAGTACCATTTTATTTCCCAGGGTCTTCCACAGTGATTCCAACTCTGTCATAGACCTAGAAACAAACCAGCTTTTTTCATGTCTGTTGCACCTAGAAATTAACACTGTTTCTGAAAGTCAGAAAGACAATTAAAAATGCTTATGTCAGTAGGTGTTATGATCTGCAAGGATGAACAACACATTTGCATCCCTATGGCAGCTACCTGCCAATCATAACCACCTAAAGATCAAAAGACTACCTTTTGGTATTTCCTATATATTCCAGGTTCATTTATTTGCTTTTCTGATACCATTCATCTCTGATGCAGTAATGACAATTCTGGCTAATCTGCTCTGACTGTCACAGAATCATAGAATGGTTGGGTTGGAAGGAACCTTAAGGATCATCTAGTTCCACTGCCACTGCCACAGGCAGGACAGGACACCTTCCTTCCACACCAGGCTGCTCAAAGCCCCATCCAGCTCTGTCTTTTCCTCAGAGACTTTTCTGGACCTTACCATAGGTCCTATTTTTCCCTGCTATAAGAGGTAGTAGCTTTAGACACTACAATTAGTTGTTGGTTTTTCCATCCTTCAGACTTCTTGTGACTCAGGTGTTACAAATGTGACTTTGAAGAAAAGAACAGCACCATGATCAAAATGGTTACAGTCTTTCTGCTCTGTTTTTTAAACAAGGTAACTAAGTGTGCAAAGTTCTTCATACCTTTGGTTCAGAGCACACAAAAAAATTCAATTTCATTCTCAGTATTTATGGAGAGATGAAACTGTTAGAAGCCCCTTTGCTATTATGAATTCTTGGTTTTCAGTCTGTCTTAAAAAACAATGTTACTCCATACACCTTGAGTTTGTAATTTTGTTGAATATCTAGATATTTATGAACAGATTAGCTAGTCCTAATTCATTATGGAACAGCACACACTGGAATCAGAACTTCCCTCTAACAAACAATTCCTGTCTCAGATGACAGGCTGGCAATGCCCACAGTAACACTGACCAGACACTGGAAGCTTTTACAGAACCAAAATATGCAGGGATGCCAGTAATCTCTCTCTCAGTATGAAATGCTCCCTTTTACAGTAGTCCTTCTGCATCTATGGCACTTAACATGGCTAGTGGTGGTAAAATAAGGGACAAGATGTATATGACAAAACAGAAAAAGAAAAGACAAAAGAGAGGGACAACACTGAAAGAGAACAGAGGGACTCAGAAAGTTCAGATGAAAATACAAACACTGAATAAGTCACGCAATTTTCATGTTGCAAGATATTAATCTTAACCACAACATTCTGTAGAAACCGTAATAAGTTATTCTTTGTTAACTGTCCTTAAAGGAATATGAGATAGAAATTTTTAACAGTGCTTCTTGTTTTGATAGCACATACAGAGAAGTTACAGTATGAATTTTTAATTTTTCATGAAATAAGAATCCACCTTGCCCAAGATGACACAGGAATTCATAGAGTTCATATTTTTGCTTTGCCCTAAGCTTCTGATGCAGAAATACTTTGATAAAACACTACAACTCTCCACACAGGACAGTAGGTACAATGTTCCTTCTGTGTTTTATTTATGAATTTAGTTATTTATTTTGTAATGTAATTTATGAAACATATTTAAAATGTCGTAGAAACAAGGTGATATCTCTAAAACCTGAGAAAATAATCCGTAAAAAACACCTATGAAGCAAGGTCCCAATAACTAGCACTTCAAAAATACAGCCTATTTACTCCCCCTGGTGCCACATGCTGTCAACTACTTCAAATCTAACCATCTGAGTTAAAAAGCATCTACTCATGAAACGGAATTCAGTTGTCCAGAGAGGCTGACATAACTAGTGTGAACAGCTATGTGGTAGCACTGACTTCAGACAGTTCTGTCATTCTGGGAGATGCTGTCTCTTCCTCCATCCCACCTTCAATCCAATGAAAACCCCCTGTTACCAAAAAAAGTAGATGAAACAGTGCAATTAGGACTGACTTCCTATACATTTGTGTCTACAGGTTCATTAACTTTTGTCATTAGGAAGGCACACCAGTTACAAATAAAGTTTTCCTCAAAGACCTGACCTTTAAAATATCTTTTTTAGTAAGGGGAAAGTCAAGCCATGGTATTTTGTGAAGTAGGAGACACGCTTCATGTGTATGGCTATTTCAATGATACTTGCAGAAAGTTAATTACCTTTGAAGCTCAAACTCTCTGTCAAGCTGTTTGAAATGATCTAATGGGCTTCTAAATTAATGGAGAAATCTAATATTGTTCAGTGAAAACACCTGGTCTCATCAGAAAGCCAGGCTAAAAGGAGTAAACACAGAAAATCACTGTGGAAAATACAGCTACCACTCTTCAACAGAGCTGCACATTGGCAGTGTAAAGCCTTGAGAAAGAAATTGCCCAGGCAGGGAGCTGTTTTAAGACCAAAAGTCACTCTTTACTCAACAACCATCTTGTCAATAGGTATCTGTATCCAGTAAGTGAGGCTTTAATCAAATACTAACAGGTTTAAAATGCAGATAGGCAAGATGCACTAACAAAAAACCCCACCCTCATCACCTGCATATAAACAGCATTTAATTCTACCCAGTGTCAAATGCTTAAAGAAAAAATTTGTAACTAAAGCTCAGCAAAAGCTGTACCCCCCCAACCCCAAGAAAGCATTACTTTAACAGGTGTGAAATTTTGTAATCCATCCTTTTCTCAGGCACATTAAAAGAGCAGGTGTTAAAAGTTATCCTCTTTCACACTGTTTTCCATTCATGTTTTGTTTCCGAAACTATTAAAAGTTATGAAAAGGGTAAGTTAAAAAAAACCCTAAACCAACCAAACAAAAAAACTTGCTTGACAGAAAGAAGTGTATCCTTCCTTGGGGATGGATGCAAACCCACTGATTACACTATAAGAAAGGCATACATACACCACATACACATCTTTCAGAAGAAAAAGAACTGTATCCATTATAAACACAAATAATAAAAGTGAACCTATTTATAAAACTATACAGTGAATCTGTGTGCCTAAATGCAGTGTGCCACATGGATCACAAATACACACTGCTAAAAACTTGGGCCACAAAGCTCAAACAAACAATGTACCTTTACAGGAATATCATCTTCCTGATTTGCCGTTTCTGCAGTGAAGACATAGGATATTTCTTTATGGGATGTTGTCTGCCTGCAAATGGCACATTTAATTGAGCTCCGGCGGGTGCCAACGCTGTACTGTTCTATGATGATAGCTGTACACTCGTTACAAAAACAATGTCCACATGTCAGCACTGCCCACTGTGCAGGGAATTAAACAAACACCATGGAGTATCAATTTTGGATCAATACAAAAGAAAACCAGTATACTAATACATGATAAATTACATTTTCATAGAAACATTACTTTACGTACACAAAATTCACAGAATCATTTTAGGATTTTTAGCACTCCAGCTGCTAAAAAGCTTCAAAGTTTTCCAGCACAGAAAGATTCATGATCCCTTGAAATTCTGTGCATTTATTACTCATTTCTTGCATTTGCCCAGTTTTAAACTTGAGGAAAGTAATTTCTATGAATGACGATTCTTAATGTATAGATTAAGTATTTACACGATTTTTAAAAGAATTACACAAATGTTTGTATCGGTCTTCTGCAAAAGTCTATCTATTCATACTAAATCAGCCTTTATTAGGAGTCCTCAAGAAAGTTAATCTTTACCTGTTGTTAAATTCTAGACTACATCTTTGGATTCAAGAAGAAATAAGATTTTAAACAGAGAGGCTTAATACTCTTTTGAGAGAATGCATTAGAAACAAAAGATTGCATTGCAGAAGCTGTTCTTCATTTGCAGGCCTAGAACATATACGTGTCAGCTGTGACCTTCCAACTGACTCAGACCTAGGTAGAGACGTTCTGAAAACAAAAGACACTAACTAAAGTTTTTACCTGTTTTCCCAGTTGACGTGCACAGATCGGACACGGTTCAGGGTTAACTCCTCCAGTGGTTTTATCCTGAGACTATAAGTAGAAAATAAATATAAACTTTGTATTTCAATACTAAAATTATTCTATATTTGAAATAAGCTTCTGAAAAATAAATAATGAAGTCCTTAAAAAAACCCCAACAAACTGTGTAAGCAAATTAAACAACATCATTAATTAATAAATAAGTCTATCCGGAGGTGTTAAAAAAATATGTAATTAATGATAAGTAAAAGAAGCACTGTTCATACTGCAGTCCTTCAGATACTACACCTTTGACAACTCCTAGTAACATTCACATTGTTGTAAAAACATTTAAATATACTTAATCATGCTTAACTACGCCTAGTTAAGCATAACTGTACTTAAACACTATGATTAAAATCATTTGTAATACATGGGGTTTGTTTGGGTTTGGTTTATTTTTTTACACTTATTTAACCTACAGACCTGCTTGTCCTTCTGTTTAAGGTAAGCTCTTTGTAAAATAGCAAGGGTACACTGAGATATACATCGTTTTACAAGGCTTCTACTAAGCATGGCCCTGTTAGTTTTAGTGGAAATTTTAACCATCTAAAACTAGTTCATAGTTTTATAACTGTGTAATTAAGCAAATAGCCAAAATATATAATGTAATAAATAACTTTGTAACTACACAGTAATGCAAAGAACACCACACTGAATTTCAACATGTAATGAGTCTTTACAGAAAACATATTTTCTTTAAAAATATAAGTTTTAAATAAAAATGAAAATAATGGTAGGTTTCTTGTACTAGGTAAATAAGAGTACATCACATAGGTAAAGACCAAGGACCCATAAGCCTTACTTTCTCCAGATTAGTGAGATACAGAAGTTGTCCTAATTTCTTTTGAAGCTGTGATTTGGCAACTGCTTTGTCATTCAAAAGTTTCACTCGATTTTGCTCTACCTATGAAAACAGCATGAAAGATGCATTAAAAGAAGAAAAAAACCAAAGAAAATAAAAAGTTTGACAATAAGGCTTAAATTAATTTTTTGGCAAAATCCAACTGAATAATTTACTGGGGACAGACAGAAGAACAGCTCATGCTGTAAATTTAAGATGGTCTTCTCCCCAAGCAAACTTATCTATTCCTTTCCTGTACGCATTACGAACACAGCACTGAGAATGGGCTGAGACCCAGGAGGTACACGGACTTGCTCGTTTGTTTCATTTGTATTACTGGTTCTTCCCAGAGACAAAACCAATTTAAAATAACTTATTACTATGAAAGTTCCTTTCAAATTTAATTCAATTTATCATCTATCTGCTTACAGATAAACAGAACCTAGATTCTACTGCTGGTTCCAAAAACAACGTGTAAGAAATGATTAATTACTTTCTTTATACTTCTTAGAAGCTTTCGCTTTTCATTTAACCTATAAAAAGATAGAAACATCAAGCTGACTGCTTTTTAGATGAATTACAGTTGGCAGTGGTGTAGCTATTAATACTGCAGAAGAGGCAAGTGTCTGAAGGACGAAGGCCAAAGTGTTTATTTTATTGTTGCAAATACATAAATCTTTGACTTTGTTAAACATTTGTTAAGCAAAGTGATACATTTTAAAAACTGCTTTAATACACAGATTAAATATTTTCCTACAGAAAGAAAGAAATGAAGCATTTTTATCTAACGCTGAATCTCACTGAAAAAAAGCACAAAATGTTTCTATTGAAAACATATGGTGTTTCTATCGAAAATTACTAGTGGAAAAAACCTGCAAAACATTAGGAGGTTAAATCAACCCAGCATTTTCTCTATATTCATGAACAGAAAATTTCTCAGAAATTCCAAGATACTTAAAAAAGATTTGCCTTTTAGGCTTCCACTCTGTTTTTTAGCTCCTTATGGGAAGTAACAGTATAGGTAAGAAAACAAGTCAACTTAATTTTCCACCAACTTGGAAAACTGGCCAGTTGTAAAAGTCCCAGAGCCATTCACCTGCTCTTACAACAGTCTTACTCGCCACTCTTACAGTCAAAAGGCTGACAAAAACACGTCAAGGTAAGAGTTACAAGCTCAAAGATACCCATATACTGAATGTAGAAATAGGCAGGAACTCTCTACTCCACAATGGCTTTCTGAAATGGAAACAGAGGCATATTGCAGACCTTACACATAGATTCAGATACAGATTTTATTTTTGTAGGATTTAGGTTCTTTCAGAAAAAAAGATGTCTTTCTGTCAAGTACTTTACCTCATGTGGTTCTATGATGTGGAGAACTGGTGGATTTGGTTTTGGCTCATCAGGATGACGTACTCTTAGCCGTTCTGTAGCCATTGCCAGTTCATCAATAGCAGAGACATGATCCCTAAGTACCATCCAATATTCATGAAGTAACTGTAAGAAAAGCGCAAACAAACTAGTAGCAGAACTGAGCTGAGCTTTCTTTTTGGCTCTGCCATACAACATACAAGAGATTGTCTTGCCTGCTTTCTTTTCCAGCCTTTCTTTATGAACAACCATAAAAAGCTGTCTCTCATTGCTTCTACAAGTACTACAATAACTAATCCAACTAAAAGTTCAGAAAGAAAATGCCTTGCAAGACTAAGCAAGTGCTGGATAACATAAGGAAAAAAGACTAAGCAATTTTAAATAGCTAGATGTTATAGCACAAAGGCTGTTTCTTAAAGATGAAGTATGTTTTAAAGAAATGTTAACAGTTTGAGTGGTCTTCTTAAAGGCCCAGACAAGCACAAGGTGAAGATAACAGCAGATTCAATTCTACCAACACAATGTAAATTCTGGCTTTCTACAAAAGAAATGGCAATAACTGGCAACGTACTATACATATAAGCTGACATTATTTTAAAATTACCAATAATATTGTAAAATATTTCTTCCCAAGCTTTCCACTATTTACATATTTTATAAAAAAAAAAACCACATAATCTTCAGTGATCTTACTGGAATTCTAAGACCTTTTGCAAATGCCAAAACTTACTAGTTGTTGATTTCTGATTTTTCAGTTGCAGAGATATTTCTAAACACTCAGTTGCTGAGGGGCATGCTGGTTGATGTTTGGGGTTTTTCTTTTAGCTGAAGAAAGACTACTGAAGCATTTGTTTTTAACTAAGCCTAGATTACAAACATAAAGTTACTGTGTATCAAACCTGGCATATAGGATAAGGACAGAGAATAAGCTGAAAGGAGTTTAGTCCCCCAAGACTAAGGAAACTAAACTGGACTAAGGGAGAAACTAAGCAAAATATACTTCAGCTAAAAAAAACCAAAAACAAAACACCACAAACAAAATGACAACAACCCAACATTCAAACAAAAACTAACAACAAAAAAACCCAGCTTGTTTTAGATTTAAGGGTTATTTTACAGAATATCATCCCTGTAGCTCAATCTAGATTAGAGTAGTATCGACAATTGAATTAGCATTTCTAAGTCACCACAGATGGAATCATTTTGGCACTATTTTAATTGTCATTGTCCTATTAGTCCCAAATCTGTTTCCTAAGGTAAAAGGACATGAAGAGACCATGCTCTTTCTTGCAGCAGAAAATTCCCAACACATAGCAATGCCTTGGTAACTAGTTACTTTACATCCTCCTTCTTTTGCGAACTGCTACAAGCCAAGGACATAAAATGATGAAGCATGAGAACAGCTAGGGTCAGTATTCTCCAGTGAGCATTTTGGTGCCATAAACAAATGACCTGACTTTGTGAGAGTGGCACAACTTTATTAGATGTTTAACAACTTTACCAAATACCTAAATGACTGAGATGTCATTTTGTTTCAAAGCGTTTTGCACTGTGTTACTCTGTAACGTAGTAACTTTTTTTAAGGCAGTGCCAGATTCTCACTCTTAAGTAGTGCTACCAGCTTGAGAAAAGCAGGTATCAGAAACAAAGTTTTCGGGGGAAAAAAACCCCCCACAACAAACCAACAAAAAAACCCCACACAAACCCAAACCCCCTGACGGAATTCCATTTAGTTAATCCAAGATACATAAAGTAAATAACTTTCTAAAGTATCTTCTCTTCTTCTATGGACTAAGTCTAATAACAAATGTTAAAATTCTTGGATAGCATACTTTACAAGAAATACCTTCGCTTTTTCAAAACCTCCTAGGAAAAAGCAACTGACAATTTTGTAGAATCATGAAACCAAAACAGGGAATATGAGTCAAATAAACCTGGCACTAGCACACCAACTGTGCTCTGCTGAAGCTGAAGTCGTGTTAATTAAAAATGAGAAGAAGCATTCAAGAGGAAACACTTTGATTACACCCTAGGTTGTAAGACAGGATGAGATTAAGCAATTCCCCCTTCTCCATAACTTGCATGTACTCACTGCAAGGAGACACAGATACACAAGGATGCATAAAGGAAAGTGACAGTATACTTCTGCAGGGCTCTGATCCAAACAACAGGAGACTAATTATTTCAGGTTACACTGTGTAGTAAACAAGATCCAGGAAATAAAGCAACAGTGAAAGGACACCTGTAGCTAGTGCAAGACTGAAGGTAAACTGAATTACAGAATTGACCAATGTTCAATTAGCTGAGTCTTGCTACATTCCGATTTAACTAAACACATTTAATTATATCTGTATACTGTCTTCCTAGATGTAATTACAATAATTACTAATTTGCTTAGTAGCCAGTATAGCTTTTAGAAACTCTTATATCATATTTAAACCGCTTTAAATCAAATCCTGTAATAAACACTATGAAAAAGTTTTGTGTTAAGCAAACCCTAATTTCAGGAACACAACCTAGATTTGTTCCTATTCAGCTTCAGTTTGTTTATATTATATTAAATGGACCTCACAGCTCTTTCAGCACCATCTCATTTTCTGTACCTTATATTCCTTTTTCCATGCTTCAAAGAGTTCCAGAAATATGCTGCCTTCTTCAGTTAGCTTAGCATCCATTCGGTGAGCTTTGGCAAAGGAGAGAATAGCCTTCAAGGCACGTTCAGTTTCACTGGTTGCCCACAGTCCTCTGCTTGTAGTGGGTAAACGGTCATCGACGAGCCCTTCTTCATCTTCTATCATCTCCTCAAATATTGCCATTTGGCCTTTGACACTTAAAAACAAACCCAACATGATACTTACCACTGATTTTGTCCTTGCACTTTTTATTTCTACTTACCCATCATATATTTCAGCCTTGTAATATTTGATTAAAGGATAAGGCAAACCAAACAAATATAAACAGCTGTTTTACCTGATATCGCAAAAGCTTCCTTTGAACACAGTGACCCAAGTAACGGCAATGAAATCACTGTACAGGCCACTGTCAGCTCAAAATCATCAATACCTTTTGTAAAGGCTTACACACCTTAATTATCTTTCAGTAGCTATTAATGATTAATGTCAACATTTATTTAAAAAAAATGCAATTCTGACTTCTTTAATCAGCAAGAGTTGTAATTAAACTCCAATGCAAAATTTGCCGAACACTGCACCATTTAAGAACACTACAGCCTCCCAGTTCCCTCCTTGGCAAATAATGCTGATTCAGAAACACACTGACATTTCCTAACGCTTCCAACAATCACTAGGCAACAGAGCTCTCACTGGTAAAGACTTCCAAATGTTTTCTCAGTGACCTCAAGGTTTTTAAATCCAATTTTGACATTGTGAGGGATATGAGAGATAAAAGTCAAAAGAGAAAGCATATGGAGGGCTGTAATCTATGCATCTCAGTCCTGTCCACTATGGACACCTCTCTCAGGTGCTGGTGCAAACTTCCTTTCATCTCACAGCTGATTTCCTATCTGAAATCTCCTCTCCCATTGTAGCTTTAGTTTTTGTTACTTTATGAATCATATAGAATTAAAAAAAAATAATAATGTATGTATTATTAGTATGGTATTATACCACTTGCAACTGTACTGCAACTAAATATTTGCACAAATAGGAATACACATCTAATTAGCACCGTTGTACAGAAACTTTCTGAACGCGTCAATACTTCATTGAAAATGTATGGTCATATTGTAACAATTTGAGAAAATGTGGCATGTACTGGTCCCTTGTACACAACTTTTTAAAATTAAATTTACATAGAAAATTAAACCTGATGAATAAAGTTGCTATTAAGGCCATTGGCAAGAAGTTGCTGTAATTTTTTCATAATTTATCTCAGAAAACTTAAAAGTAGAAAATACAAAACAATCTAAATTCCACTTCTTTTTATAGTGAGAAGTTTATAAAGCTATGAACTTACGTTTGAGAAAAGAGCTTCGACTCGTATTCTGTGAACAACTCGTCAGCCTTACAGAAGACACAGCTGCAATAGAGAAGATTGAAAACACTTAGAAGAAAGCACTCAGAATTTAAGCAGAAACCAAAGTAGTTCCTGTAATTCCCTATTCCAACACATACAACCACACAAAGTCTTTAAAAAAACCCCATAATGTAACACTTTTATGTACATTCAATATACTAACTGACAGGAAAAGATTTTCTAAGAATAAAACCAAAGTAAGGTCATAACTCTCAACAAATGCATCTGTGATATCTGTGTGCGTACAAACCCTGAGTACAGAATAAAGACTTTAATCTCTTATTTCAAAGAGAAAGGAGAATTTAATAACACACTTCTAAAGTATATTTTCTATTTTCAAGACGTACTTGTTAAGTGGAAGTCTAACAGGTCGCAAATGGCAGATAGTGGCAGCCTCAATAACCTGCTTAGAGGGTGGGCCTTCTAAGTTTTTCACAGCTTCTCTTACAATCTTCTGGAACTTCTTCACTTCATCCAGCTGGGTTGTGAGCAGGTATTGAAGGCCTCTGCAGTCACGGAATCTGATTTAAAGAAAAAAGGAACTAATTGCACACTGAGTCACTGAATTCAAACTTCATTCAGTATTTTGAAGTAGAAGAGAAACAGCTCACAGCAATCCAGGACAATGTATAAATTTAATATCATAAGCAAATGCTTATTATTACTACATGTAATGCTGTTAGAATCATTCATTTGAATCCCCTGAGGTGATGCCTGGTATTTGCAGAATAGAAAGACTTCTTCCAAGATTTGAGAGATGCAACTGAGTACTAGCAGTCAACACAAGCCTGCAACATTCTGGTTCACAAGACAAATCCACTAAACAACTGCACATACTCATCGTCTTATTTGCATCTGTTGGCTACCAAACTAATTTTTAATGCACCTATGCAATTCGTGGCAGACACATGCACTGCCCACAGAAATACACTGCATTTTGCAAGTTAGCTTTCAAAGTTAAAATTATTAAATGGACATAACAGTGAACTATTCTCCTAAAATCTTGCTGGCTGTCATGACCGGAGTCATGAGCACCAGTTAAGCACTTCCCATATCGTATTCTTCCTGCGGGCAGAGGTACCCACTGAGAGTGCACCATTCATACAAGGTCATTCATGCATTCACGTACAAGACAATATATTACAAGAATGTGGTTTCCATTCCAGTATGGAAAATCTGGTCCGCATGTTGGTCCCTTTTGTGAAGTGTGAAAAAAAAGCAGCACAGGTTTAACACCACTACTAAAGACTGGCATTTAATATGACCTGCTTAAGCAGTATGTATTTTAAAATAAAAGACAATTTTGCCTAACCAGGTAGTCTGAAAATACATGTAAATTTCATTCACAGGTCTGTTGTTACTACTATCAGTTGCCATATATTCCAGATTTTTATAAATCTTCCACACCATACCCTGGATTAACCATCTCTAACACTCAGCTACGGATTAGCATTTGTTGCTTCCACCATTGACCGATAACACTTCCCAAGACACTGGTTTTTAACTTTTTAATTGCATATGCTAAAATAAATTAAATAGGAAGCAAGTTTTATCCTTATTCTATAGAAGAAACAACTGAGTCACAAATAGCTTTGAGAAGATCCCCCCTGAACTGCTGAATAGTCCCAGCTCTTTCAGCCTCTGCTTGTATGAGAGATGCTTCAGTCCTTTTCAACATCATCTTGGTCCTTTGTTGGGCTCTCTCCAGTATGTCCTTGTTTCTCTTGTACTGGAGAGCCCAGAACTGGACAGAGAACTCCAGGTGTGGCCTCACAGCACTAAGTAGACAGAAACGATCACCTCCCTCAACCTGCTGGCAATCTTTTTGTCTAATGCAGTCCAGCATACCATAAGCCTTCTTTGCCACAAGGACAAATAGATGGCTCTTGGTCAACTTGGCATTCCCCAGAACCCCAAGCAAAGCTACTTTCCAGCTGGATGGCCCCCAATATCCATTTTAACAGACAGAATTTCCTTCTTCCTTCTCAGCATAATTTGGGATTGTAGTAACAAAGGAGTCATAGTGGAGTGTGTGTCTTTATATAATTGATTAAAATCTGTGCATACTTTAAGTATTTAAATTTCTGCACACATCCACATTTTATACATGACATATTCATACATATGTTTGTGCATTTAAATAAGTTTTATTATGTGTATTATATATATGCATATAACTAAAACATGATTTAGAAAGATTTTATTTAAGAGCAAACGGATTGTTCATGTATCAGAAAACTGCCTGAAGTTAAACTGTGAGAGCACTCTCCTTCCTGTGTCTCCCTTTTCTGTGATGAACTTAAGGAGCTGGAGCACAGAACATACAAAAGGGGGGTGGGAGAAAAGGGTTTATTCAACCTTAAAATCAGATTGCTCAGGGGAGACCTTATTGCTTTCTACATCTATCCAACTGGAAGGAACAGAGAAGACCGAGCCAAACTTTTCCCAAAGGCATGTGACAGAAGGACAAGAGACTGAAATGCAACACAGGAAATATTAACTAAATAGAAGCATTTTTAATTCTTTTTTCCACCAAGTAGGTTGAATACTGGAACAGATTTCACCTAGAGGCTATGAAATAAAATTGCCCTCCTTGGTGATACCCTGAACTTAACAGGACAATTTCCTGTGCAACCTAATTGGGCTTAATCTCTGAGCATGGGCTGGGGAATGGTCTAAGTGACCTCCAGAAGTACCTTCCCATCCATTATTCTGTAACAGCACACAACAGTGGTACTGCTGTCTCTAACAAAGCCAAGCCACAATTCTCTACTCAGAAGAACAATGATGCTATTTTATGGTGCTGCATAAGGATTTTCTGATATTGCCTGTCTACTTTCCATTTAAGCAAGGCAGTTTCTTTTAGAGGTTACTCAATTTTAACACAAACAACTTGGAATCTTTCTTGCTCAGCAGTTGCATGAATACAGAAGACTGTAAAACCACAGTAGGTAATACAAAGGAACATTTAAAAGAATATTTTTCTAAAAGAAAATTTTAATTCTCCTGCTTTTCTTTCCAAGTTTGCTTTTCTTCAATCTAGCTATGTTTTCGGGGGGACTTTTTTTTGAAGTTTAATTGCAGCCCAGATGCTCTAAAGCAAAAATGCCTGCTATTTAATTGCAACTGTTAGCACAAACTGATAAGAGGACTTGAGCAGACTTAACTGTATTCATTAGCCTATTTTAGCTATTCTCTTACTTCTCTGCCATGGAGAGTTTATTAATCTGCTGTTTGTAGTTGCATGTTATTTCATTTTGCACACGTTGAACAAGCTCCTCATCGATGGCATACTGTATTGCTGTCTGGATAACATCCAACCACCAAGGAGAACCTGAATGTATCTGTATGCAAAAGAACAGATTTATCCATAAACATTCAACAACAACTAATTTACTCATTTCAGTAGAGGCATATACTGCTCTTCAGGTCACACTCAAACAAAAACTAGTATATTTCATGGAAAGTGGAAGACGAGAGTATGCTTAAAAAAGTATTTCTTCTCCTGTTTAAGTGAACACATGATTAAGAAATATTCTACGTTTTCTACTGCTGCACCTTCAAATTGCTTTAGTAGAGTCAGATTCACCAAGGCCATCTTCACAGAATAGCCACATAGAGATACTGTAATCAAAAAGTTTCCTCTTTCTCTCTCTCAAGAAGAGACGAAAGGATCTTTTAATCAGAGAAAGCAAGTTCTCTGTGCGATTAATAAAGCAACACTGAAGTGACCTTATAATTTTCAAAGGTAAAAGAAGATGCAGACGTTTACTTCCTCATATGCCATCTGCCCCTATTTCTTTATTATTTCTTTACTATTACGGAAGTGAGAAGCAGCATTTCCACTCAGGTGTTCATCAATTCATTCACGGTTTGCACCTTTCCATGAAACCCGAATTGTCACATTGTCTAAACACAGTTAAGCCTTAGCACAACGACTAAATGCAAGTCAAGGGACAGTTCCTTTGAAAGTAACTGAAATACTATCTAATACACCACAGAAACGATTCAAGGCCAAAACCTTTAAGTTATTTACCTAAATTACAGGTGAAGCACAGTTAATATAAAAATCAAGCATGGTCTTAAACTTTACTAGAATCACCCCAACACGTATGTCTGTTTTTAACCATCTGTTCATCAAGTACTATGTGCCTCTTTACACGGGGAACACAGAACGTATTTTAGGGCTTGGGTGGGTGCATGGAAGCACACTGGCAAAGGCCTGTTCTAAATGGGCCTTCAAAGAACTGCTAGAGATAATAAACAGCTGGTGTCCTGGATAAACAGATGAAAATAATACATACAGAAAAACTCCATAAATCTCAGAATTCAGAGTCTAAATACGTAAGAGGTACCTGCCTTTCTCTGGAGCTCCCGAATGGTCTGAAAAACTGGCTGTAAGGCCTGATGGGCTTCTGCAACTTCTGCATTGGATTTACTCATATAATGCTGTCGAAGTTGTTCTGCCTGTATGGAAATGAGAGCTTAAATTACGCACAAATCATATTTATGAGGAATAATCAAAAATGTAAAGACTCACCAGCTACCATAATGTTTTAAAATGGTTAGCTACCTACGTGCTTCCTCCTCTTTATAATATCAGGAGAAGGTGATATCCAAAAATTGCTAGTTACTTGACAACGAAAAACTGGGCAGTATTTCTATAAAGGCAAATTAAAACAGAAAAAAATGCTACCTATGCATAGAATTTGCATTAAAATGACAAAATATCACAAGATATCCAAATAAAAAGACAGATACTGATCACCACCACATAACTGGAGAGGCTGAAAGAACTGGGCTTGACCAGCTTGGAGAAGGGAGGCTTAGAGGGTACGTAATAGCAGCCTTCCAGCAGCCAGAAGGAAATCAGCAAGAATCAGGAGCCAGACAACACTTTACTGAAGTACATGGCAAATGAAAAAGGGATAATGGCTATAAGCTGGAATGGGACGTTCTATGTGAATTCTATTTCCACTATGAGGATTATGAAGTATTGGAACAGGTTGCTCAGGTAAGTTGTGAAACCTCTTTCCTTGGAGGTTTTAACCTTCCAATTGGACAAAGCCCTGAACTACCTGGTCAGAAAACAATGTTGACCCCGCTCTGAAGGGGAGGTTCAGCTAGGGACTTGCCAAGATACCTTCCACCTGAAATGATGCCATAACAGCAACATTCTTTTGCAAATGTGGTCCGTATGTCCACTACAAGTAACCACTGGGGAACAGTGATCCCAGCTATTTTACCGGGTATTTCCCCAGTCAAGATAAAGGATATAGTTAACAGGCTTATGCACACAGGAAGTAACACACAGTGACTTGCTCATCTGGCCAGAGAGTGTCAACCTTTCTAGATGTTTAGGCAGTACAAGAGTGATGGGTAAACCAATTGCTGTAGAGCATGTGAGTACAATATAAGTAGTAGAGCAAAAGCCAGGACAGATGCTATTGGCAAATTTTAGATTATAAAGAACACTGCAAAACAGGATCTTCTCAAGAAGATTTCAAAGAAGATATTATCAGTACCACACACAGGACCAAAAAGAGAGGTAGAGAAACAGTTTTGAGGCATGACTAAGAAGGCAAATTAGGCAGTAGTAGCTTATATTTACTAGGAGATGGGGAAGCGTTTTGGAATGGAAGGCGCCTATGGAAGAAAAATAAAGTTCAGCTAGACAAGACTGACTATGTGCAGTTAAAACAATGAAATAAATGTGAGAAAATAAGAATTCAGGATGATGCATTATTGTTAACATTTATGTAAGTTATTTCCACAAGAACACTGTGGGGTGGGAAAATCACTTTTCATAGATAGACTTTATTGCAACTTCCACAAAACACACTCAAAACATAACAGAGATCACCAAGATCTGGTGATGTGAGAACAGCAGCATTCACTGAACATTTCAGCTCTCATCTTCCATATTAAAGAACTCTTAATTTTACTAACCTGAAAGGAAACGTATTTAGTTAACCTGAAAGCTATTTAAATTTTTTCTCTAGTTAGATAAAATATTGAAGGATTAAAAAAGTGAAAAGGTACTCTTCAAAATGTATCTATATAAAAAAGAGTAACATTTACCTCTTCTGCAAGTCGGCTATCACGCAAAGTCGGAGGAATTCCTGGGTGCTTTGCCAACAATTCCATCAGATTGTGTGTAGAATGAAGTCTCTAAATACACACAAAGTTAACAGCAATCATGAAAAAATACATTGCAACATCTGTAACAGGAAAAGCTTAGACAGCAATGAAAGCATATAGCAAAAAATTAGTATTAATTCAAAATTAGTTGGGTTTTTCCCCCCTCTGTAAGATAAATCCAGATTAACAAAGAAAATAAACTTTTTTTCCCTCATCTTATTGAGGTAGGAAATGAATCCTTAAAAAGGCCTTCTTCAACACCTCAAAAGTGAATCAGGATACAAGTTTGACATAAACCATCAGATAACCTTTAAGGTCCCTTCCAACCCTAACCATTCTATGATTTTATGATTCTATCCCATACTCACCCTCCTAATTAAAACACCCCTTTGCTATTATTCAAAACAAATTATTTATCCCAGAGCACATTCTTTTCTAAATATATTTCAGAATATTATAAGGAGACCATTCATTTAGCCTATCTAAAGCAAAATAAAGTATAAGGAAAAAAATCAGCTTCCAAGAGCTTCAATCAATTTCCATATTCTTCATTTACTTACCTGAAATAGAAGATGACTGAATAAAACATGACCTTTTTATTTCTTCTTTGGGAAAATTATCTCAATTGTTAATCTAAGGCAACTTTATTCCCCTTCCCTACGTTCCCCATACGTATCCCAAACCAGACCCCTAGTATTATGCTGCCTGCAAGCTCATACTAATAACCACCACTATCATAAATGTCTCACTTTCAGGATTCACTTGACCTTTGTCCTGTCACTATCTCAGCCACTGAAGAGCACTGGCCAGCAATGATTTGCCATTATCTTATAGAGCTAAGCCTACACAACTGGGAAGTACTCATCAGAAGCTGAGCTTTATTACACAAACAGTGTACATTTTGAGGAGGAAAAAGTTTTATTGGATTGCATAATCCAGTAAAGCAGATGAATGAACAATCTTGTTATAAGTAGTTTAACAGGTTTATGCTGATACAACTATACTAAGTGAAAATGCCTCTGGGAAGTCACAAAGGAGCAGGAAGGAACAAAGGAGCACAATGGAGCCACCAGATGACCACATGCAAGATAATCAAACAGTAACTTGCTTAGTGAAGCAAGCAAAGTAAAGAAATAGACAACTGGTCACTTCTTATTTATCCATCATCAACATTTTAACTATCTTCTTGTGCTTCAGAGAATTTTGGTCAATTTAGAACTGATATTTCTTGAAGAAATATAAAGATGTTATGTAGAGAACCACTGCTGTTTTACCAGGTAAATATATTCATATTTTTATTGTAGTATTAAAAAAGTATTAATATATTACCTGAAAATTCACTTTGATTCTTTCTCATGTTTTAATTCCCTTTCAGAGAACATCTTCTGCAGTATAACAATTGTATTATTCTCTATCATTTGGCAAATTAATATCATTCTCAATGCAAGCCCAGCATCCTGCGTTCGCTGGATGTAATACAGTACATTAATGTGAGCAGTCACAGTCACATACAGAAGTCTACAAATTCAGCTTGCTGGGTTTACCGCAGAACAGCAGGTGGAGATCACACACTGCTTTTGGAGTATCATGAACACTCACAAGCAGAAGTTTTTAGAAAGACAGTAGATTAAAAAAAAAGGAAACATGGAGGTCATTAAACAGATTCTGATCTAAAGATTGTGATAATAACAGCAGGCTGAATGAGTCATTCAGCACATCAATGCGAGGACGAAAAGACTGACCTGTTAAACTAAATCTGAAGTATTCTAGTTCCTAACTACCAGTTGTTTTATTTTTATATTTGAATGCTCACTCACTTGCAAGGAATCTGTTTTAAGCTTTTCTTTGTGCTCTTCAGATGATCGTAACACTTCTCTATACAGCTCTGCAGCCAATGCATATTCTCCTGAATTAAGAGAGGAACAGAAAACATACACATATTGTGTTGGGTTGAAATATACAAGCAGCCAGGACTGGCCATCACTTGTAACATACAAAGACATTTTCAGAGAGGCTGTATAATATCTGCTTGTCTTTAAGCAAATCTTCCCTTTCCATTCTGTTCCTCCCCCGCCCTCCCCCCAAATCTGGTACAAGACAGAGTATTATATTCTACAAAGACTAAAGCAGTTTCCAAATTAGGTATCTTTTGTGACTGCAAGATCTTGATCTTAAAATATGTATTCACAGTTGCATAAGTCAAAAACCTCACATGTTGAACTAAAAAAAAAAATTAAAAAAGAAAAATAAATCACCTACAACTCACTGCAGTGATGCATTACGAAATTCACACTGCAAATACATTATTCACTCTTCCAGTGGAAACAATGAAAGTTATGTCACACTTCAGAAATGCAGAAATGATTAAACACATGCAGGGAGCGTAACTACTGATGTAAGCTGCTAACACCACAATCACTTCTCAGAAAATAGATTATATAACAAAAAGCTGCAATAAAAAAAAATTGAAGTTGCATATGGAAAAGCAGCAAAAAAAAAAGAAACCAAAAAAAAACCCCAAACTATTTTTATTTTCTTTGCTCAACTGACAGAAATGTATTTAGCCAGTAATAGTCTTAGAAGACTCTTAAACTGCAGGGAAGTACAGGGACATGAAATGCATGAAGACGGACAACAAATAAAAAAACAGCCTACATATCTCTAACAGCCCTATTTTCAACAAGATTTTTTACATTGAAACTGTTGCTAGTTGTAAGGGGGTAGTCCTGCAAAATATTATTGCCATTACTAGTTACAGGCCAAAAGCTATGCTGAATTTGCAATGACCCAAGTTAAGGCTTGTCAGACCTCCTCTGAGTTTTTCTTGACCTGCTTGGACCTCTTCCTTCGCTTAGCTGTGACAGCAATTCCTCTAATTCACTAGGTGTCTAATTCACTAGTCTGATTTCTTTTTTCTTTTTATTTTAACATTTATTTTTGTGTAGTACCATTACAGCTTTATATAGATAGCAGTAACAAGCAGTTATTCCATGTAGAATGAGATATTTACAACTTACACAATGATGTAGTGTAGAGAAATACAGGCCTAGTAACAGTAGCAGAGACCTTGAAAAGTAAAGATATAGGCTGAAGTGTAGAGTACAGCCATGGGATGCTAAGAGATGGTACACAGGCTTGGCAGTGAATAAGGAAGCCATGGCTATAAACAACTCACCCACAGTCAAAGAAATGCAGACCTAGAGCTGGACAAAACTGGTTTTAGGGGCAATAAAGAAAACAAAGAAATAGTATGTAACATTCATAAAAGGCATCATGTACACTAAATCTGGTGTTAAAGTGAAGCTGCAGTCCCATGAAGACAAAGAAAGGTGTAAAAAATGTGCTAGCAAACATAAAAATGACCCCAATTGGATCCTTGAGTAAGAAAAAAGAAACCATCAACATGAAACATCTTACTCTTTCTGAGAATTCCAAGTGGAGACAACTAGCCATAGCACTGCCACCACCAGTATGAAACCATTGACCTTAGTGCTCAGAAGGGCAGTAGAAAGGTGAGCATAAAAGCAGGACAAGCAGTACAAAAAACTGTGATTATTATTCTTTTTTCATTTGTAAGAATTACATCTGGAGTAATAGCAATTATACCTGTAAGATTTCAATCACGGTAACAATAAATTAATGGCTTTTCTTACGTACAAAGTGCACTTCCTCCTTGCTGATAAAGGTGATTTGAGTATAACAGTAATGCTGGCGGGTAAGGGAGAGGGAAGTTACAGACCAGAACTCTGCCTCAGTCCTGCTTTTGTTCCTCACCAGATGCAAATTTCATCAAAATACTTCTCAAAAAAACCCAAACTTACTATTTGTACTAGTGCATTTTAGAAGTATTTAATCTGTACAGAGATCTTTTTAAGCACTTAATTCTAGCTGAAAAACTTGATCTCCATCCTCCAATCATAACAAACATAACATTTCAAACCTACTAACTACAGACTAGAGAATCTAAATGTAGTATTTCTGTAAGACAAGTAATAGAACAGGCAGTCTGCTTGTTCTCCTCTTTGAAGGAAGACTTCAACATGAGCTGGAAAAATTCAAGCAGCTTGTCAACTTTAGAAGACGTATTACTTAGCAAAGAAGCATTTTTTCACATTCATGACTACGTACTTTTAATTTATTATTAACTTGTTTAGTGGGACATCCAAGATGTATGTAAGTATTTTTGTTTCCTATTCACAGCTTTTTTTGTCCCTCCTAATTCAGTCATTGACAGAGCCATACAGCACGCAGCAGCAAAGAGATTCCACAATCAGCGTAGCAGTTTTCATGGCAGAGGGCACAAAGGAAGCCCAGAAAGCATTACTGATAAACCAAAACTAGGTTAAATATAACTACACAAGTATTACTTCTTTTATCCTCCTAGTACACATAGATGGTAGAATTAAGAAAGAATATACAACCAAAAAGCCAGAAATACTCTGAGACATCAAGAAGATGCACAAAACAACACCTTTTCTCCCTCCTCTAGAATGAGTAGCTTTTGTTATGAACACTCTCACAAGCCTCTCTAGTTTCTCAAGATTTCACAACGGCTTTTCCCCTGAATTCAAAAAAGCCACTGCTTTTACATGGTGTCATCTAAACTATAACTAGCCAACTGAAAGTAGTTAAGTATATGCTACAGCCATCCAGTCTTACCTTTAATGATATGGATACCAGCTAAGCCATTCAGAGCACACACCAACTGCCGGTGAGCTTCCTCACACTCTGTTCGACATTTTTTCTGCAGAGATGTCAGCAGTTCCTCCATGGTCATGGTGCTGAAATGGAGACCAAACAGCTCAAACGTGAAATAAACCCACAATTCCAGAAAAGTAAAACTATCACGTTGTGCAGCATGAAACTGTTACATGCATCCAACATACTGTGCAAATGTTTATTCAACATGTATTTACTTATTAAAAAACCCCTAGTTGTCAGCTTTTCTTCCAGCTAGAGCTTTAGCCTAACTTGAGTATGAAAGAGAGGCTGACATCTCCTAAAGATAGAAAGAAGTAAAAAGCAAGAGGAAAATCAACTAAAATAATCCTTCACAGGGCAATCCTTCTGTTGCACTGGCAAACTGGAAACCAAGCAAAAATAGACCTCATTTTGCTAGAAGCTGTTAAAATTAAAACAGCTATGAGAGACTACATTTCTCCCCCCTGCAACCAACCTAAACATGCAAAACACATGAGGTGTCAAGGTAAAGAAGAAAATGCGTGAAATGAGAATAGTAAAGATTAGTAATTATAATTTTAAACTTCCTTTTCTACATCTGTTTGTAATATTTGTAATTCATGAGAGGAATTCAGTCAGAAAAAAAATAGCTTAACGTAGAAATACAGGAAGTGGAGAGATAACAGGGAGAAGCAAGAACAGAGGTGAAAAAGAAGAAAAATGCATGAAGGATAGGTTGGGTAAGGCCAAAGGACAAACAATCCAGGCAGAAAGAAAACTGATGTGAAGAGACAGGAGAGTAAACTGCAGCAACAGTCTACAACAGCTGACCTGGGGCTACTTCTGAGATCAATTGCTGCTGTGAGATCAGACACTAATCCTCTCCCCAAAACTCTGCTCCTCAGCCTCATTCACCTTCAGGAGAAGAATTTATTATTTGGCATTTAGTGCTGTGGAGTAGAGCAAGAGGTGACAACCCCTGTGCAGTCTGGGCTTAAGGTATGTAGGAACAGTATCCTTGACTAGGCTTTTATTTTACCTTTCTTGCAACCCTGTTCCATTTGCAGAAATTGTTCTTTGAGTTTACACTAGTGTTACACTAGAGCAGGCTTTAAATCAATGTAATCACTATCTATAATTAGCTGGGTTGCGCAGGTATTGGTAAATACACATAGCACATGATGCTCATACTCTGATGCTTCTACCATTAATACTTACCTTTCATTTTCAAAACACCATCAGTTTCAAGAAAAATAAAAAAATCAAACGGATGAACATATAAAGTATGCAATTTGATACATAGCCTGAGACTACCAATTAAGACAAAAAGAAGGTTTTTCTACTCTCTTTAAGTAGGGAAGCCTAGAAACCTCTCTTTTGAGGGCTATTTTTTTGAGTATACGTTCTCATTTACTGCTTTCCATGACAGAGGTGAAAAAATCCACACCCAAATCAAAACCAGCCACCTAGCAGAGAACAGACATCAAACTCAGCTTTCTTGTTTCAGGCCAGTTTCTCTTATCCATGTGATCCAGCATCAACTTTCTTGTTTCATTAAATTTCTCTTATTCATCAAAGTTCCTAGAACTGACTTGTTTCATTATTCTCCTACACATAACCAAAGCCAGGAGCCAAATCTCTCTGCTGGGAATGTTCACTGCTGCACAAAAAAAGGTATCTAAGTAGTGCTGGGAAGTGACTTTGCTTTGTACATACGATTTAAAGAAATAATTAATTTTCATTGCTAGTTTTTCTACCACGGTTAGTATGCAGCTATCCCTCCACAACCATTCCACCAAAATCAACACAGTACTAAGCTGTCTCCAGCATACTCAGCTCAGTTTACACATTTCGTTTTTACTCCACTGGCTCATTTTAATGCAAATAATCTTTTACAGGCTGGTGGGAATATTGATTTCTCCATGTTTGAGTCCTTGCTTCCACACTAGCAGACTGTTAGACAAAATGCTACAACAACATTGGTCCCTGCTGAAATAGGTGCAAAGTCAATTACAGCTGCTTAGGCATTATAAGTAGTGCCCTGTATGAGAAACTGAAAGGAGTAGGACACAAAACTTCATAAAAGGATAGAAAGAGACTGAATAGAATGGATGTACAAGACCAGGAAACAGCAGAAGGAACACAAGTGGTGTTAGAAGTTTATGTTCTTCCCTACATGTAGCTTAAAAAAGAAACAACATAGGGCTCTCAGAGCCTGAATGGAAACAGCCTGTTCTTTCACAACCCCCCCTAATTGACTGGAAAAGTAGCAGCTACATTTTGCAAAGAGTGCTAGCAACATACTTTTGGTCTAACAAAGGCTGAGACCACTTTGCAGGGCACTTCCAAGGAAAATTATCTTAAAAGCATGCACAAAAAGGAGGCGGGGGAGGGGAGGGGGAAATGGCAAAACCTCCCACATTTGAACAGCTTTCAAGTTTGGATCTACATTTACAAATCCTGCAGCCTCGCATTAACAACATTTTCTCTGAATTAAAGAAATTATTCTATTCTGTTCATTCATTTTGCTGTTTTTTCTCATTTATGAACCTGAGTTTTGTAAGAGACAAAAGAAAATCAGTGGGCTTATTTAAAACTGAAGAAGAATCTGGTTTGTTTCACATTCAATCTGTCACCTGCAACATCCATCAGCATCATAAGATTAAAGTGTAACTGCATAAATAACTGCCTCTCAGTACCATTTTCTTTATCACGAGAATTACAGTACCTACCCTCTGCATCCTATTCAGCTTCTGAGGTCACATACCTTGGTATGACATGGTTGCACATTTAAGTAAAGAAGCTTAAAATTAGGCTTGTTTGAGAACTGTACAAGATCTTGCACAGCTGGGGACAATCAGGGTTTTCCTTTGTGTAAAGCAAGCCATTTAAGAAGTGACAGAAATTCACCTTTTTTGTAATGGCAAGAACTCTCCCCGAACAGCTTGTGGATGACAGCAGGCCTGCCTCAGCCGCAGCAAAGGGTACAGAATAGAAGTCACAGTCCTTCTATCTAGGCTACTAAGCTTAAGAGTCCAGTCTGAAATCTTCCTGAGTTTTGCCAATGCATCCTGGCAGCACACCTCGTGCTGGCGATGGTAGAAGTGTCTCTCCACAGGAGAAAAGTGAAGCCAATGTACATTTTCTGTCTGAGGGGGGATTTGAATCTGCAATTCAAAAAGAAAATGAGTAACTTGCAAATAAAGCTATTAATAAATGCTGTTCAGAAATTGTAAAACCAAAAAGTCTAATTTACTTGGTCAATCACATCCTTCTTTGCTGATCTCCACATTATCTTGGCAATTAGACTGTAGAGAGGCTGGGGATTTTTCCTACAATAAGGTCGATATAAAAGTCGGTCCCACCAATGTTTGACCCAGTAAGGATCAATTCCAAGAAAAAGGACTAATCCATACAGATCTGCCAAGAAAAGAAAGTGGTTTAGTACAATATTTGCATTTTAATACTTCACAATATGCCTCCAAAAAGTTTTATACAAAGATTATCAGGCAAAAAGCAACTACATTCTGGCTGATAGCTTTTCCATGTGTTTTCCAGTAGCTCCCTCTTCAAAATAGCTAATTTAAGGCAGGGGACAGGGTGGGGAAGGTAGTGGTTCTTTCCTTTAGCTAGTGGTTGATTTTCACAGAACTTGCTGGACTGTAACTATCTGTGAGACATTTCCCTAATTTCAACAGAGCAATGAATTTAAACCTATTTAGAGCAGAGGTGAGAGGCAGAAATTACATGATTGCATATGGTTAACCAAGTTTGCCAGGTTTTTCTAAAACAATATTGCTCAGAATCATTACTCCACAGCCTGCTGTGCACCAACTGTCTGTTGCCCACCATCCTAAAAGGGGCTGCAATACAGAAGACTCATTTTCCTATTAAGGCATAAGAAATTAACAAAACAAACTTCTATTGTTTTCTTACTCGATGAGAGAATACAGCTTGCTCTTTTTACCCAACTCAGAAACCCATCAATGTTGGGGATGAAATTTAAGGACATACTGATTTTAAGCTTGTACCTAAATCTTACTGGAAAGATACTGAAGCACACATTTAAATGCTGCATGTGGACAACGCAGAAACAGAAATAGATGATGGTATCCTATAGACAGTTCTTAAAGATCTTGTGGCTACATTCTCTATTCTGTTAGCATTATGGTAATTCTGGTAGTCAGCTGAAAGCTATAAGACATTCACCAAATACATTCTAGACGAGGGGAAGAAAAATCCTGGGAATCATTTCTATGCAGGAAGCAATTGTTTACCCAGAGGTCCTATCCCACTTCCTTACAGCAGCAGCAGCACAAATTCAAATCAGTCAGCAGTTTTTATCCCCATGTGATGGGGGCTGCCTCAGTATAACCTGAGCACCTGGTCAACATGTATTATAGACAATATGACATTTCAAATATGTATTAAATCAACACTATCACACACAAGGACTTGAAAAAGTCAGTTATGACAGTCAAATCAACCACTTCCTTCTATAGTGTTTGCTTTATTAACTATGTATTCTCACTACTATTATGTGCATTTATAAATTTAATCCACAATTACCTACTGAATTAATCTACAATATTGACTTTTATTATATGAACATTAGTTCACAAATGTACACAAAATGAATACACTGATATATCTGTTTTCAAACTCACTGCCTCAATGTGTACCACATATTCCTAAATCCATCAGAGAACACAGGGAGATAAAGACGTTAGTTCCAGGTCTTTTTTTCTATCTCTGTCTGAAGCCTGTCTACAGAAACTGAGTACCTTACAAAAAAGACAAGATAAATGACAGCTGCTAACATACAGCTCCCTACTCCCCACATCTAAATTCATTAAGTCCTTACATAAGGACTTAAGACAGTTTCATAAAGCTTTAGTACGATTTTTAGAATTTATATTCATGGCAGTTGAAGCCCACAGTAGTTCATACAGGGCTATGCAAAAAGCAAATACAGCTTGCTTGCTGTATTTGACAGTTAGAAGAGTTCTGTAACCACAGCAGACTATCTTTAGCTGCAAGAAAGAAGGGTTAATATTTACCCACTCTGCTAAGTGAAAACTGAAGAACAGACTTGAGTCAGTTGTTAGACATACAGCTTTTCTGATCCCCAAAGTATTTGTCTAACTCAGGAAAATACAATTTTTATATTGATGCATTTATTGATGGCTTTATTACATGCTTATGCTTTATGGCTTATCAAGTCAGAGTACCTAATGAATTCAGAGCAAGACTAGCTGATATTTTAACTGCTTCAAACCACTACCTAATTATCAGCACAAAGAAAACCCACAGATGATACTGCTACATAAAATCTCACCTTCTAATCCTCGCTGCACAGGAGTGCCACTGACACACCAGCGATTGATCCCACTTAAACGGAGTGCCATTTCAGCAGCCTAGCAAAAGAAGATAGAAGCAATGGTAGGGAAGTGAAAACAGAGCAGAATACAGTCTGAAAACACATCGACCTTATTTTCAAGAAGTCTGAACATCTTTTCAGTGCATAAGATTAGCAGACCTATAAGCAGCATTGGTAAAATACATTATAAAAATGTGTATGAAGTTATTGATCTTTCTGAAGGTAACTGAAAGCAGAGAAAAGCCGTATCCACTTCCAAGTAATCAACTGCAAGTATGGATTCACAGAAGGCAAACAGTTAGCAAAAGAAACCATATATAAAAAAAATATTAAGGAATTAAAGCCCATAAGCCATTATGTAAGTAGTATTTTTGTCATAAGACAAAAGGGCAAAGGGCAAAAAAAACCAGATGACTACCAATTAAAATAATCTCCCCCTGCAGACTGCAGCTTTAGAGTTTGCAGACAGACTGCTGATTATTTTAGCTTCTAGACCCAAAGGACATATCTATGCCTCTGAACCATGCTAGTGAACAGGCTAGTGTCTTGTTTGAAACTATCAAACACCATATACATGATGACCTGGTTCTTTAAACTGTCGGTATAGATTATGTTAAAGTATTTTTTGAGCTGGACATACTTCACAGTCTGCCAGAATTCCAATAGGAGAACCATTTAATAGTATCTCCAACAGAGAAGTCACTTCTAAAGAACAAGCTACAGGGACAAATTATCTGAGTGCACTGAACATTAAAAGGGGGAGCCTGAAGTCTATTTTATTATTTACAATAAGCTTGTCAAAACCTTTTTCAGTTAAGTAAGTTCATGACTGGGAATGTCGTACCTTTGCAGTAGTGCATTCAACCATCTGTGCTTCATCAAGGCAGATCCTCCACCACTCCACTGCTACCAAGGGGCTTGGAATGGCCATATACCGCTTCTGGTTCCTGAAACGGCGCCCATCTTCACTGTTGCTGTGGGGTATATCCACATAGTTCAGTTCAGTGCGGAGGACATCATATGTGGTGATAACCACCTCCTGCTCGGCCAACATGTGCGGCTGCAAAAAGCCATGCTTCTTCACACCTTGATACACCTACATAGATTTGTATTCAACAGCACATTAGCAAAGAACAAAGGTAAGAGGCACTTCAATAAAAATGCTAAAATACCAGTTCAGCTTAATACCTGCATGCTTTTAGCAGTGTTGCTCATATAATATGAAAACATACATAAAACCTATATTCATATAGCAACACAGTGGGAAATCCATGTAAGTAACAGACAATAAACACAATACAGACACTGATGAAAATTTTTAAGTATGATTATTTATAATGTTACAAAATATATTTTTTTCCCCTCCTTTCAAGAAAAGGGGACTTCAGGATTTTCTACAAGTTATTTGATGCAACAATTGTTTGCAAGATTAAGTATTCTGTAACGTTGTATGGAACAGCAGTCTGGCCCTCTCCTTTACTGTACACATACTACTTTTCTCCCCATTGCCCCCAAAATTTCATGGATGATTAGGCAAAGACAGATGTATGCAGTGAAATATTTAAAAACCAGAAACGATACTCTGGGTAACGTATAAACTCCAAAAAGGATTTCTATAGAGACTCATGAGATAGAATATCCTAGTAAGAAACAACACCTGTGCACTAAGAGAATATTATTATAAACCTTTCATACTGACATTTTTCTAATATCGGAAGTATTTTTCTTATCTCACTTGTCATTTTAAGCATGATCCTTTCAGAAACATACAGTAGTTTAAATAGGAAAAGAAAAAAAAGATAAACTGAATATTTTACTATATGCTTCCTCAGGATAGCATTCTATGTCTAAAGAAAATAAAACACAGCACACATTGAGTCCCAATATACTTAAATACAAAAATATGCTTAGATTTCAAACACTGTATGGTATAACACACATTAAATTCATACTAACTTTTTCTCTTGCTCACAATTTACTTCAGGAATCTACTTAAAAATTACAGGCATCCATTGCTTACTTCAAGAATTTTATCATCAGCTACTTCTTGTCACTCATCTGATTATTAATCACAATATTCAATTTCCCAATCTTTTTTTAGAAGGAATCTTTATTCTAGTCTCATCTTCAGATATCTAGCATCCTTCTATTCCTCTCTCATTCTATGAGTTCATGATTTATTATGTAAGAATGGATCATCTTGGTTAGTGTTTATCTGCAACTACCTACAAACCCTTTTACCATTTAAGAAAAAAATCACACCATCTTTCAGTCCCTCAGAGTGTCACAAACTTTAATGTTCTCTTAATTCACAAAACTACTAGTTAAAAATACCAAAATGAAGGTGACCTTATGAAAACTTAGTTGATTTCTCTCCTCTTTATTCTTTGATGATGAGCACATGGTTTCACTGTTAATTTCACTACTTTGTCTTCCAGTAATACTTTTCCCTCTACATTTGTTCATATGGCAACAGTGTTTCTATCATATGTTTCTTTCAGCCCCAGAGCCTGACAACAGAGCATGTGTGCAAGCAGGTCAATGCACATGAACAAAAGAGAAAGAAGGGGATGGGGGGAAATAGAAAAAAAGAAAAAAGAAGAGCATGCTCACTGAAGCAACTGTTAAGAATCAAAAATAGCTGTTGAAGTCTAATGATCTCTTCCAAGTGTTTATGAACAGATTTTCCGGAGGTTTATAACTTGGCCAGGTTTTGGTTGTTTTCACAGCCACAGGAAAAGACAACCTGCCACCAAGCAGGACCTATCAGTAAATTCTGATTTCTTGTTCTATTATATAAAACCATTAGAATTTCCCACGGGTTGTAAGCAGTTGGAAGAATAAAAAACACCCTTCACATGCAATGCAAAGCCTGTTAAAATGGGAAGCTGGTTCTTTGAAATGTCTGCACTATGCAAGTCTGGATGACTTACAGTTGGCAGTTAAAAGAAAACGAAAACAGTGTCTTAGAATGGAAGGTGTCACACAGCTTAAAGTACTGACATTCACTATTGAAACTATTTTACTGTTACCATGTAAATCTATTTCTGACAGTTTTCATCAAAGCTGGTATAAAACCTGGACTGGGTCCTATGAAAACTGTGCAAATTTTACACATTTGTTAGCTGCTGCACTAAATCTAATTAGACAGCTCACACAAATGGCTTACTGGAAGCCTAAAATTCATTTATACATTGAGCATTTAGGCAGGATAGCTGAAGGTATCAGATACATCCCCGAAAACAAAGCTCCATCTCTTTATCGATCTACTACTACTGTTATTTTATTCAAAATATAAGGGATCTACAGTTCTCAAAGCACTTTATCATTACACAAATTCTTGCCTACTAAAAATATGAAGCACAAAACTTGACTACATCATTATTAAAAGACAATAGCTACCCTTGAATACTGATAACTATATTAAAAAAAAAATCCTGTATAGCCATAGTTACTGTATGTATAATTGCATTTATTTTAATGATAGAGCTATTAGAAATCAACTAAAAGGACAACACATGGTCTCCAGATGAGCAGCATCCTAATAAATACGGCAGATGTTAGAGACAACGCCCAAGTTGAAATGGCGTTATTTTCAGTAAACACTAAGGCCCAAGACTTGTTTTATAAAGCATGTGAACCACAAATTCACAAGTACACTCTTTACCTACTGAAACATTTGTATTCGTCTGGAATGAAATGAGAACCAACTGTCAGAGAGCTGCCTGGGTATAAACGTACACTGACATGACACTTCCAAAGCACCTATAGTTAGGCCTTTCTAAGTTCATTGGTAATCTTTCAGAGAAAAACCACAGAAATAGCCTTTCCTCTCAGAAACCACTTGTTGTTGCAACTGTTCAAAATTTGCTTCCACTTGATAAAGATATTTAGTCCACTGTACCACCTCCCACTGACCAACTAATAAGGAAAAAATGAAGAAATAAATGCAGACAGTCTTTCTTGGACACCAATGCACCTTGTGATGCCAAAGCATATGTCTAATATGTCTAGAGTTCTGACACCAAGGACAAGGAAACCTCTGACCTTTATGTAATACAGAATGTGAGAGAGGCAGCCCCAAGCCTTGATAAAATAACTCACTAGAATATGAAGCCATATAATCTTACCAGAACTCGAAGAGAAGATGATCTTACATGCCTGTTGATTTCATCTACCCACTGGTGACAAATAGAACTCGGAGAAATTATGAGAGTTGCTCCTGTGGAAACTGGTTTCATTGCCACAAGGCAATGAGGACAGTAGAAAGGCTTGATCTTCAGGTTTTCCTCTTTGTAGTTTACACATTCTGCATGCTGCCATAAGTAACATTTCAAGCACTGCACACGAGCTTTATAGTCAGCCAATCCAAGCTCACCACAGATGCATTCAAAACGATATTCAGAGGTATTAAATGGAAATACAGAACTGGTATGTTGCACACTATTGCCAGCAAGTTCTTGGGAATGTGAGGACTGATCTTTTGGGATTTCCTGCTGGACATCAGCTGTAGTTTTAGAAACATCAAAATTGGGATGACTGCTCACATCACTGGAGACAAGGAGGTTACCATGCAAATCAGCAGACTTTGGGACCACAGCTTCCTGCTCATCATCATTCTCTTTCACAGAGTTCTCATCATATGCCTCAGATTTCCTGTTACGTTTGCTAGTTGTACAGTAGTCATGTTCTTCCATGGTGATATCCACTCGTAAAGGAGTTTTAAGGGCATTTTCAGAAGTGACATCACTATTTCTTGACTCTTTGGTTTCAGTTTTAGCATCAATCAACTGCTTCTTCTGAATGCTTTCTGAAGTCCTTGCTACCTACAAAGTAAAATTAACCAAGAATGTCAGACTTTCTCCTTACCTTTGTTTGGTTTGGAATGTGTAAACACCAGATGCAGTTAATATTTTAGCCTCAGATTTGATCTACTTATGATTTCTGCTTCTTTGTTCATGAATGGCAAAGCAAACACTGCAGTCTTACTCATTTTTATCAATAAGCCAGTGTCACTGAACTAATGCACACGTACAATGCAACTGAGGTTAGCATGCAATTGGCAGAAGTAAGATCTGTCTTTGCAACATTCTTTGAAGTAGCCACAGCAGCATGTTTTACCTGCTCTTTGGTTCTTTCTCGCCTCTTCTGTTCCTTGTAATTCTTTCCCAGCTTGAAAGACCCAGCCAGACCATGTCCTTTGACTTGCTCTACTACTTGTTCTGCAATCAGTTTTTCTAGAGTTCTTTTGAGAAGCCGTCTATTTCTCTGTATGTCATATCTGTATATAGCACTGATGTACTTAAAGATCGCAATAATGGATGCTCCTTTCTTCACATTCATTTCCTTTACAGCTGCTAATATCATCACTCGTAAGCCTATATGTAGAATCAAAGCAAAATAACTTACAGCTCAGATAAAATGAAAGTTACCTTGGAAAAATAGGTATTAACAGAACTCTAAACACTGTTTTGCATTTTTCAGATGAGCACAAAGGCAGGCAGCAGTCCTGACAACTTGAGGAAAGCTACTTGAGGTAGCCCAACAAACTGCTATTTTTCAGTGATTCTAAGACAATACTGAATAGCAACAGAAATAAGTCACTCGATTTTTTTACTGAAGCTTGTAAAAAGAGTTTATTTCAGTTAAATGCATAAACTTTCTTAAGTGATCTTTAGTTACATGAAGTTCTGTAGCACAGAGCTCTGAGTTGGTAATTTTAGTTTACCTATGGATCACTTGTTTGTAGCATGCAATCCTACATCACAGTACTCAGCAAAAGAATGATTTCATTTTGCAGAACTGAAGATTAGCCACTCATACAGTCAGTGGTCAATATAAGACTTGTGCCAAAAGCAAAATACATTCAAAAAGTCATCAAGAATTACTTACTGGGATATTGTATTTTCTCCTTCAATTTAAGCTCAATTTCCTTTGGCTTTTTCTTTTTATTTCCTTCTAAAGGTTGAGGTGGAACAAAGAAGTTCACGAGCTTACCCTAATGCAGACAACATTAAATAGTTATTAGCTGATCTCCCTTCATAGCCATTCTGAACTCCATTAATCTTTTCACATTTGAAAATAAGCATGAGCTGCTACAGATGTGTGCCCACTTTTAGTGTACAGAGTGATACCCCATTCGGTTCAGTTTCTTGGCAAATGGTGCTCAACACCCTACACTGAGAACAGAAAGAGAAGCCCTGCAAGCTATTTGGTCCTCCACTACTTCAGAATTAAGTTGCAGGAATCCATAGTTGTAAGTGATCAAGGTTGCTGATGGGGGGAGGAAAATGTGTATTTAATATATAACTGGAAAAACAAAAGGAGGTAGCGATATTGATTGAAAAGCCCTAGTAACTGTATAACAAGTAAGTTTCTCTTTTTAGAGATTGCCCCAAAAATTTATTATTAGTGATTCAGCCATAGTGATTTAATTCAGGAACTGGGATATAAAAAGAATCTCAAAGCTAGAACAAATACAGTGCTAACATTTCTATGATTATAGAAA